GAAATACATGAAACAGTTTCATTAAGTAGTATATGAAACAATTTCATAACCATATATGAAACAACTTCATCAAAAAAAAGTATTATATGAAACAATTTCACAAGATTAAACAATTTCATGAAAAAATTTCATAAGATTAAACAATGAAATCGACGAATGAGAGTAGTTTTTACGGTTTTTACAAATTGGAGTGGTTTTCATTTGATCGCTCCTCTATATATATATATCATATGTGATTTTAAACTAAAAATTACATGTGATTCAAGATCGGTCAATGCTTGTCAGGCCAAACGCTCATGCGACCCCTTGCATTGGTCGAACCTAAATCACTTTTGATTTTACACTGTAATTTTTAATGTAAATTCACATGTGATATAACACTATTTCATGTTCTCTTATCTTGCCCATTCCATAATTAGACCGTAGGCATAACTGTTAAAAAAAAATTTAATTTTTTTTTTCGCTATGTATATGCTCTCTCTTTAAGTTAGGTTTTATTTTCTTTATTAACAGTTACTGTTTTTAATTTAGACAGACTGAACAACTCAAATCATTAGATATTTGTTTTGATTAATGTTTAATCTGACTACGACTTTATTCATACGAAAACCAGTATCTTCAATCGTTTCTTTAAATTATTCAAGAATCAAAGATTGGTTTTAACTATTAAGCTTTGTATAAACTTTCCTTCACCCTAAGAAAATTACAAGATAATTTAACCAAATATTTATTATAATTTCAATAAAAAAATAAAATAAATTTTTTATTCGATATTATTGCAATACAATCACTTTATTTCAATAATAATAAGGATAAATGTGTCTTTTAATATAAAATTAAAAAAAATAAATATTACAATTTTTGTGGAATAAAATAATCAATTTGAATCCATGATTTCTCTGACATAATTATAATTAAGGTAAATTGCATGAAAAAGTAACATATTTTATAACTTGATTTTTATTTTGGGTAACGTATAATTAAAACTTTCATTTTAGTACCTAAGATGTAAAGTTTTAAACATTTAAGTACCCGGTAAATCAGTTGAAGACTAATTTTAGATTAAAAAAAAAGACTAATTTTAGATTTAGAAAAATTCATGTCACTAACCATGTTAGCAAACAATATTGAGTTGGATATCATATCACTCGTCACAGCAGCATGATAATTGGTTAATGCTTCAACCGGATTACCCGAGTACTTAAATGTTAAAACTTTACATTTCAGGTACCAAAATGGAAGTTTTAAAAGTACGTTACCCAAAATATGAATCAAGTTGAAGTACGCTGCTTTTTTATACAATTTACCCTTATAATTAATCGCAATCTTGTGGTATTAGCTCAACTGATAATAAAATTTAGGTTTTGATGATCGATTCGATTCATACAAGATTACTGAGGATATTCCTGACTGTTCTTTAGGATCCCTGAAATTAATCGAGGTACTTACAAACTGAGATTGATGAGGGTTATAAAAACTAGAAGGTATCCGCGGAATGCAGCGAGATACATCTCGATTTTAATGTTTTATTTTATTATTTGTCTCTGTCGATGTTATAATACGATTTATGTGTTTTTAAGAAAGTAATAATGATTTTATTTTTGAATAAAATATAAATTTAAAGATATCATAACAATTTGAAAAAAAATATAATAAGTTAGTATCAAATTAACTATCTAAAAGTTCTCACTTTTTATGTAATTTATTTTTATTAAATTTAATTTAAGTTTAATAATAAAATAATTTATTTTTGGTTTAATAATATAACATTTCATAAAAATTATAATTAAGTATTCTGTTAGGACTCAATGATTATCCTAATCATATTTAGATTTTTTATATTTAAAATGAGATAGTTACACGAATTCAGATATGGAGCTTTAATAAGTTGTATTTACGCACAATCTATTTATAATCTTAAGTTTTTAAGTAATATACATTAATAAATAATATTTAATACATAAAAAATGGTTTTTAAAACTTTTTACCGTTTACTTTGTAATATAATATAGATTATTATTAATCCCATAATTAAGTTGGTGGAATAAAAGTCAAGCGGAGATATTGGAGGATCACATGAAACCCTCTCGAGGGATATTATTTATTTAATCAAAGATAATTATCAAATATATAATATTTTCTCATCAATTTTATATACTTTAAGTTATCAAACGATAAGTAACTCGAATCTAATTTACCCCAAAGATTTGGAATCACGTGAGACCAGTTTGTTTTCGTAAGACCATCTTTTTACATTTGAAACTTCACAACAAAACGCTATGAAGATAACTTGTCACAGTATTTTTACTGTGAAGGTTCGGTTTTTATTCCCTTCACAACGTTTTACTATGAAATTTCAAATGTAAAAAATGTGGTCTCATAAAAACATGTTGGTCTTACGTGATCTCAATCTTTACCCTAAATAGGTATATTGAGTAAAAAGAGGTTTAATTCGATTTATATATTTAAGTATTTAATTTATAATTGTCATAAAATAAAATGAGAATAACAAGTATTTTAAATAAGAAGTATCTTAAAATTTTGATTTACTTTTTGATGACATTTTGTCTCTATGTGAATTTTAATATCGTTTATTTTTGGATTGTGATGCATTATTTTTAACAAGTTTTATAATAATGAATATATATACATATTTGGGATCACGTGAGACTAGCATGCTTTCATGAAACTATTTTTTTACACTTGAAACTTCACAACAAAATACTGTGAAGGTAACCTTCACAATGTTTTTGTTGTAAATATTCAGACTTTTTTTACCTTCATGGTGTTTTGTTGTGAAGTTTTAAGTGTAAAAAATGGTCTCACGTGAACCCAACCTTATATATATATGCAACAAATGTCCATTTGAGAAGTAGAAAATATTTGAGAAGTAAAGAAATGAAGAAGTGATCTTAGTCCTTCATTTGGTCACCATTTTTGACATTGACCGTAAAACACCAGATAATTCATCACATAGTTATGCAGCAGATGGAGGGGTAGTTTCGTAACTTTTACAAATAGACGGCAAACGAGTTCATATGTAAACCCATGTGATTCACATATAAACTACATGTTCATATGTGAACCCGTTAATTAGTTCAAATGTAAACTATTTAACTGATTCATATGTGAATCAATTAATTAGTTCATATATGAATCAGTTAATTAGTTCATATCACATATGAACATATAGTTCATATGTGAAACACATAGGTTTACATATGAACCCGCTTGTCGCCTATTTTTAAAAGTTACTAAACTATCACTCTATTTTTCGCATAGCCATAATATTTGACCAGTCAAAGCCGTAATTCTTGGCCAACCAAATCCGATCTTAACCGTATGAGGGGTTGTGATCACTTATAACTTCTCAAATATTTACCACTTCTCAAAATAATCTTTGGCTATATATGATATATAGATTTGCCTCCATGAATACTCACGCCTTGAAAAACATCATGATCTCAGTGTGACTCCTAATGCTTGACACTTGAACATACCGTCATTTCACGCCTCCCACCATTAATTGGTTCCTTTTTACGCTTCTCACTTTAACTCTCATTTTCACACTATCTTTCGCCTATATATATATATATATATATATATATATATATATATAACTGGATGAAAGATCGTGTGAGAATAAGAGTTAAGATGAAAAGTGTAAAAAAATGATTCAGACCCTTGATCACTTCCAATCTCAATTCTCAAACCAACCCATTAATAACACTTTAAAAAGGGAATTGATCCGATGTATCTCTTCAATTATAATTGATCCAAAGGTAAAGATCTCCCATAATCATACACATATCATCATATATTTAATAAAATAGAACATATACACATGCTATACAAATATCCTAACTAGGTTCAAATCTAAGGAGTAATAAAAATCCATTTGTGACCACGGAGGTTCAAATACGATGACTCCGAACTATCTGCAAAGCAAGTGATCGTCTTAAAATTAATCAGCCCGTATATCAAGTTGGATATTCAAGTTAATAAAAAAAATCCCAACAAACATGTGCCCATTTAAGAGAATGGCGTTTCTGCGAAAAGATTACAGTTTTAGAGGCAGTCAAATACGACCACAAATTTTGGAAAGTTTCAACCATAAGTCATGTATAGGGGTGTAAACGATACGAGACAACTCGCGAGCTACTCGAGATCGACTCGGTCAAAGCTCGGTCAACACTCGACTCGAATAGGCTCGACTCGAACTCGAGCTCGACTCGACATATTAACGAGTCGAGTCAAGCTACCCAATACTCGACTCGAAAAGCTCGTGAGATACTCGATTATTTTATATATAATTAGTTTTAAAGTATATAATCAGGTTTTATGATAAAATATGTAAAATATAAATAATATAAATGCCTTATATTTTTAGATATTTAAACAATTAAAAAAAGACAAAGAAAAACTATAAAAAAAAGTTAATGAAGTTGTCCCACATTGGAAGATAGATGGTAAAGGAAGAAAGAAAAGATGTTATAAAAAGAGAGGAAGATGAATGCAATTTTCTAACTTTGTCTTTTTGATGATGAAGTTTGAAGTTGATCTCTTTATTTTTATAAAAACTAAGAGAACACTTTTAAGTTTTAAAATTTATAAGAGAAAGACCCTAAGTTTTATAAATTTCAATGAGTGAGTTTGGTTCGAGCTTGATTCGAGTTCGAGCTTGATTCGAGTTGTAGTTCGAGCTTGATTCGAGCTTAGTTCGAGTTCGAGTTCGAGTTCGAGCTTGAGAAATAGTTATCGAGTTCGAGTCGAGCTCTGATTTTTACTACTCGTGAGTTTTCGAGTCGAGTTCGAGCTTGGAAATTCGGTTTCGAGTTCGAGTCGAGTATAGTGATACTCGAGCTCGACTCGAATCATTTACACCCCTAGTCATGTATTTTATGATCCATTATTAAATTCTCATAAAAACCCCAATTTTCAACCCAAAAATGTTTCAAATTCTTCACATTAATTATGACATTTGCATTAGCTCAAGATCTGGTCATCAAATATCGACCCATTTCCCCATATAAATCCAACCCTCCTCCTTCACAAAACCTCACAACTCAAATCTGTAAAAATGGTGTCTTTTTCAAGATTTCTTGTTCTTCTGTTCTTGATTGCATCACTTTCCTCCTTTTCTTCTGCAAACCCTATTCAAGATACCTTCCATCAATGTCTTTCTCTCGATACAAACTCCATATCTCAGCTTCCCACCATCTTTTTCACCCCAAACACCACTTCTTTCACACCCATTCTCAATTCAACCGCACAAAATCTCAGGTGTATCGCTTCGTATGCTGCGAAGCCTGAGCTGATTTTCACTCCGTTGCACGAAACCCATATCCAAACAGCTGTGATTTGTGCGAAAAAGCTTGGGATTCAGCTTCGATTCAGGAGTGGAGGACATGATTATGAAGGGATCTCGTATACATCTGTTATGGAACCTCCATATGTTGTTATTGACTTAGCCAAGCTTCGTGGCATTGATGTTGATATCGAAGATGGTTCGGTCTGGGTCGAGGCTGGTGCCACCATTGGTGAGCTTTACTATCGAGTTGCCGAAAAAAGCAAGACTTATGGAGTTCCGGCGGGGCTGTGCACCAGCCTCGGTGTCGGTGGGCACATCACGGGTGGTGCGTATGGCTCCATGATGAGAAAGTATGGGCTTGGGGCCGACAATGCACTCGACGCGAAGATCATCGATGCGAATGGTCGGATTCTTGATCGGAAAGCCATGGGAGAGGATGTTTTCTGGGCCATCCGTGGCGGCGGCGGCGGCAGTTTCGGTGTCATCGTTTCATGGAAACTGAAGCTCGTGCCGGTGCCGGAAACCGTCACGGTGTTTAACGTCCAGCGGACGTTGGAAGAGGGTGCAACAAAGATTCTTTACCGGTGGCAACATGTTGCAGATAAGCTCGATGACGATCTTTTCATTAGGGTTTTGATTTCAGCTTCAAATGTACCAAACACAACTCGAAGAACAGTGAGTACAACATACAATGCATTGTTTCTTGGAGGCGTAGACAGGCTTCAACAAGTCATGAAAAAGGGTTTTCCTGAGTTGGGTTTGGAGCCAAAAGATTGCATTGAAATGAGTTGGTTGGAATCCGTTTTGTTCATCGCCGGCTACCCAAGAACCGTCCCGACCGCCGTCCTACTCGCCGGAAAACCAGCTTTCTTGAACTATTTCAAAGCAAAATCAGATTTTGTGACAGAACCCATCTCAGAAAAAGGGTTGGAAGGAATTTGGCAGAGGTACTTCGAAGAAGAAAGCCCATTTATGATATGGAACCCATATGGAGGGATGATGGGAAGGATTCCAGAGTCATCGATCCCATTTCCTCATAGAAATGGGACACTTTTCAAGATTCAGTATGTGACAAGTTGGATGGATTCTGGGAAAGAAGCCATGAACAAGCATGTGGATTGGATCAGGAAGCTTTACAACTACATGGCTCAGTATGTTTCAATGTTCCCAAGACAGGCTTATGTGAATTACAGAGATCTTGATCTTGGAATGAATGACAAAGATGGTGGTGACACTAGTTTTGTGAAGGCAAGTTCATGGGGAACTAAGTACTTCAAGGACAACTTCAATAGGTTGGTGAAGATCAAGACTGAGTTTGATCCTGATAACTTCTTCAAGCATGAACAAAGCATTCCAGTTTTACCCTTGAAAAGTAGAAGTAAGATAACTCAAAGATTCAAGCATGGGAAGAAGGGGAAGGGGAAGGGGAAGGGTAAAAAGGTAATTCACCATCATTAAGGGTTTTTTTTGGGGGGGTTCATCTTCTTCAATTTCTTTTTCTTTCTTTTGTGGGTAAGTGATATAAAGAAGCATGGTGACAATAGTAGAATAAGTGTGTGATGGGGTACATGTCATGAGTGTGTTTGTGGTGATTATATAATATACATATTTTATCTTAGGATAAGACTTTGGAAAGGAATAATATTTGTGAAATTTGATGTGTGAGATTGTTATTGGTTTATGGTGAATGTGTTTTTATACAATATATAGGTTTGGGATTACGTGAGATCAGCTTGTTTTCATAAGACTCGTGAGATCATATTTTCACATTTGGGAGCAAAACGTTGTGAAGGTAACATTTACAGTGTTTTTGCTGTAAAGGGTAACCTTAGCTTGTTTTCATGAGACTCGTGATACCACTTTTTTACACTTGGGAGCAAAACGCTGTGAATGTAACATTTACAGTCTTTTTGCTGTAAAGGGTAACCTTTATAGTGTTTTTGCTGTATAGGGTAACCTTTACAACATTTTTGTTGTAAATGTTTGGGTTTTTTTACCTTCATAGTGTTTTGTTGTAAAGTTTCAAGTGTAAAAAAGTAATCTCACAAAACATATTGCTCTTACGTAAACCTAACTATATATATATATATATATATATATATATATGACATTTGTGCAACCAATACAACCCAATCTCAACCATCTATTTCATTTGATTAATATGTGATCATAGAAGTTTTGATTGTTTCATAATATAAAGTATTGATCATAATTAATGAAACATATTTATCTTCTATAAATATTCAAATCATAATAAATGAACTTTCATCATTTCCATAAATATCTCAATTTATTAGGTTGCATTGGTTGTACAAATGCAACAGATTGTATTTGAAACAAACTCTCTCTCTATATATATATATATATATATATAATCACTTCACAAGCATGGAGAAATGGAAGAATACATGCCCATCACCATTCATGGTTGTAATGACACAAGGAATATGGAACCTTTATTTCCATTGTCTTAAGTGGTTATTGTTGTTTTAATAATAATTAAATTAGATATTATTTTATCAGAGTCAAAACTAATATGGCCTTTTAAATGTGCTAAATAATGTCATGGAAAAGTGAAAACCTATGAAATAGAATACTTGTGTCGGCAACTTCCAAACAGTCAAATGTCATCTCGTACTTGCTTCTTAATCCGTAGATCTGGTTTTACACGTTTTATTTTATTTTAAACATGTGATCGATAATCAAATAAACCAGTTTGTTGCATTTATTTGGGGGTTGGCAACAATATTAAATACAAGTGTGAAATGAATTCGTTATAGTACCATGTAGTTTCTTATCAAGCTGTCTACTCACGTCCTAAGCTCAAACAATCACGTTGATTCAAATATATGTTGCTGGTCGCTCACGACTTGGCCCGGGAGATCTGAGAAAAGATGAAATAAGAAGAACACACGTGTTTTCTGGACGAACAAGATTGACGTGAAGGCTTTCATCGAAAGTAAAGCGGTAGGAATTCTGTCCGCCAAAAGAGCTGTCATTCGATCGGTACACGAAAGTGACAACCTTAACTTTTTTATCGATGTTTAATGGATTGGTATAATTCGAGTATGCACCATGTTTTAACGACTTCTTTTAACAGATAAAATTAGGGAAAAGTACAATAAAAACCAATGAACTTTTTGTTTGGAATAATTAAGTCATTGGATTTTTTTTTTGAACAAATAAGTCCTTGGACATTCCAAAACATGTTAAATAAGTCCTTGGACAATTTTTTGGAACAAATAAGTCCTTGGACATTCCAAAACATGTTAAATAAGTCCTTGGACAATTTTTTGGAACAAATAAGTCCTTGGACATTCCAAAATATGTTAAATAAGTCCTTGGACAATTTTTGGAACAAATAAGTCCTTGGACATTCCAAAATATGTTAAATAAGTCCTTAGACATTCTAAAAAATGTTAAATAAGTCCTTGGACAATTTTTGGAACAAATAAGTCCTTGGACATTCCAAAAAATGTTAAATAAGTCCTTGGACAATTTTTGGAACAAATAAGTCCTTGAACAATCCAAAACATGTTAAATAACTTCTTGAACTTTTATAAAACATGTTGGATACATTCTTATGACTTGTATAACTAGTTATGACTAGTTATAAAACATGTTGGATACATTCTTATGACTTGTACAACTAGTTAAAATGGTAATTATTTTTTTGTAAATGTAAGTACTTTTTTGTTATATTTGTTTAGTTTTATAGATCTAAATATTTTTTGGTTCAAAAAATATTTAGGGGCTTAATCGTTCAAAATAAATATGAATGTTCATTAGGTTTTTTTGGGGATTTTTTTCACTATTTTACCACTTTATTTTTTTCAAGAAGTTATTTAACATGTTTTAGATTGTTCAAGGACTTATTTGTTCCAAAAATTATCCAATGACTTATTTAACATTTTTTGGAATGTCCAAGGACTTATTTGTTCCAAAAATTGTCCAATGACTTATTTAACATATTTTGGAATGTTCAAGGACTTATTTAACATGTTTTGGAATGTCCAAGGACTTATTTGTTCCAAAAAAAAAAATTCAAGGACTTAATCATTTCAAATAAGAAAGTTTATTGGTTTTTATTGTACTTTTCCCATAAAATTACTGGTTCTTAACATATATGATTAGAGATAAAGATTTAACATTAATTGTGGGTATATTTACAAACTTAAACTTATATCTTTAAATACATATATGTGTTGTGAAGGTTATATAATGTCAAAATAATCTATATATAAAATAATTATTATTAAGTAAAAAAAATTAATGCCTCTTAATTAATAATTAACTAAAACCTTGAAAACAATTTGTTTATAACTGTTTTTCCTTTTAAAAATTGGATTCATATTTAGAATTTCAAGATTATAAATAAAAATAATTGTTTTTATAATCGACCCAAAAAATACTTTTTAATTATAATTAAAATTAAAATTTAAGTCTTGTTAGAGGTCAAATATTACATGATCATGATGTTTGAATGACCATTTGCCAACCCCACCCCGCACCCCCATATATATATATATATATATATATGGTTGGGTTCACGTGAGACCAAGGATTTTTCGTGAGATCCATAAGATCAATTTATGTTCATTGATCAATTTTATGAATTAATGATCTAATGGTTGCAAAGTTGCAAGGTGGCAATTTCGTAATTAGTGAGAAGTCTCGTGGCGTTTATAAATGTTCAGATCTGACGATTGTAAATCTAATCCAAAGGTTGAGAATTGGTCTTACGGGTCTCAAGAAAAACCATTGGTCTCACATGATCCCAAGTCTATATA